CGGGTGCAGGCAAGGAAGATGGCAGTGGAGAGGGAGGGAATGGAGGAAAAATCCACCAGAGTCCTCTCGCCATTGTTCTCTTGGCCAGGAGATTGCAGGAAGATGGACTTATACTGGGCTAGGCACTTAGAAGTCTGCCCAGACTGGGGCTGCAGCCCTGCAAAGCATTGAGCACGATTAATGTTTGGTTTTTATGGGCTGGGGATAGAGTCCAGGCAGGGTCTCTAGCATGCTAGACAACCACTCTACCAATGAGCTACATCCTCAGCCAGACGGCTTGCATTTAAATCCGGCTGCATGCAGTCCTCACCTGGGGCCCAGACATGCAACTAACACCCAGGAGGTCTACTCCAGAGAGTGGAACAACACACGCTCACATTCAAAAACACACATGCTGCCTGACCCCAAAAGTTCTCTGGGGTTTCAAAGGTGTTTCCTTCGATTTCCATGGCCAAAGCCTAAGTTTGCAACCCTTGCTTTCCTGCCTCACAACAGCTAGCTGTGTGACCGTGGTCAGGTGACCTCACCTCTGGGCCTCAGTCAATGTGAGGACACGTGAAATGCCTGCTCAGTTAGGTTTGGTGGGACACAGCCTCTTAATCAGAGCATGTGGAAGGCTGGGGCAGAAGGATGGAGAATTTAAGGACAGCCCGGGCTACATAGCAAGGTATTGTCTCATAAAACATAAAAAAACAAACGAAATGTCAAACTAGTGGTTGACACTCAGCAAACGCTATCGCTGCTACACAAGTCGGCTTGGTGACTCACGATTTATATTCAGGAGCAGTGTGGCCTGCAGGAGGCTCCCTGTGAACTACATACAGCCCAGCCTCTGCCTTCTGGCACCCCAGCCTTTCTTTCCAGCTCTCTGAGGAGCTGTGGTCGAGTTGGGAATAGGAGATACCTTTCCTCTCTGGCAGGGTCAACCCTGTCGCCAGGTCCACCCCTCCCTCCCTTCCCATCTCCTTCCCCTGGCAGCTTTTGAAATGTTGCTGGGCCCCAGGCCAAAGCAGGACAATGTCTGGGCAGGATGGACACTGTTCTTCAAGGTCGTTTTTGTCTTCATCTTTCCTTGCCTTGGACTCTGGACCTCACCATCCTTCCGGGACCTTTCCTGAAGCCCCAAACTCAGCTAGTTATCTGCTGTAGAGAGAGAGCATACCGCCTGGGAGTCACAGAACCAAAGGACAACCCGAATTTAAACTTTCACATTTTTAGTTTATCTGCAGTGCTGGATATCCAACCCCAGGGCTGCTTCACCTTTATGCTATACCTCCACCCCCAGGCCCAGCATTTCTAATTTAAATCCTGCAGGCTAAGGCTAAGGTATGTACTTACAATCTCAGCACTCAGGAGGCACAGGCAGGAGGATCGGCACAAGTTATAGGTTAGGCTGTTGAGTTACCTGTGAGTTCCAGGGCTACACAGACCTGACTTAAAAGAACAACAACAAATTAAGAACAAATTCTATCTCTAAGTGGTGGTGTGCCAAGAGTGCCTATGATTACTGGGGTAGAACTGAACTCAGTTGTCATTAATTTTTTAAGTGTGTGTGTGTGTGTGTGTGTGTGTGTGTGTGTGCTCACTTCAGCCAACACATATACTAAAGTTGGAACAATGCAGAGAAGATTAGCATGGCCTCTGAGCAAGACCTGAAAATTAGTAACAAATGCTATATTAAAAATTCTTGCCACAGCCAGGTGGTGGTGGTGGTGGTGGTGCACACCTTTAATCCCAGCACTCAAGATGCAGAGGCAGACGGATCTCTGAGTTTGAGGCCAGCCTGGTCTGCAGAGTGAGTTCCAGGACAGCCAGAGCTACACAGAGAAAGCCTGTCTCAAAAACAAACAAAAAATGATTACTATTATTAAAGTATGTAGGCATGTATGATGAGTGTAAAGTTATGCATGTCCCAGCACCAATGTGAAGGTCAGAGTACAACTTTGTAGAATTGATTCTCTCATTCCAGCTTCACATGAGCTCAGTTCGCCAGGTTTGCTCAGCAAGTGCCTTTATCCATTGAGGGATTTTACTACACTGACTTGTGGAGATCCTCCTGCCTCTGCCTCCTGAGTGCTGAAATTCCCCTCAAAGAAGTATCTCAGGGCAGGTGCTCCGAGAATATCTCCCTTCTGCCTTACCTAACCGTGTCAGGGGCAGAGCTAGCCCTGGGGCATCCCCTGGTCTGTAGGGAGCCGTCCCTGCATTCTCCATTACAAGATGGCGCCTGCATCCGGCAGGCACCGAATGTAAACAAGATTATTGTGCAGGCGCTGGGTAATTTTCCATTCCTTGATCTCTGCCTATTCCGTGGCGTCATATGGCCGGATGAGCTGCAGCCAATCATGGGGTGACATGTCCAAGGCGGCGGTTGCCCCCCTTTATTAGGGGAATAACCTCCCACAATAGCAACATTCCCAAGCCAAAGTCCAGAAAAAACATACCTCTCCGAATTTACCACCCTGCAGTTCTGAATCCGCCTCGTTAGAGGGGTCTCCGTGGTGCTGAAAATGTTCACATGTTCCCGGGTTTCGACACCATATGTCCCGCGCCCGCTCTGTATTCCTCGCCAGCAAGAAATCATACGCAGGACACTCGGATCCTTCTGCAGGAAAGCTTTAATGCGTCTTGAGAGGAGAGCATAAGCTTACCAGAGCGGAGACACTGAGCCAAGAATCCCGTCCCCTAATAAAGGCTGGCAGCCGCCGCCTGGGACGTGTCACCCTATGATTGGCTGTAGCTCATCCGGCCATATGACGCCACGGAATAGGCAGAGATCAAGGAATGGAAAATTACCCAGCGCCTGCACAATAATCTTGTTTACATTCGGTGCCTGCCGGATGCAGGCGCCATCTTGTAATGGAGAATGCAGGGACGGCTCCCTACACTGGTCACTGATCTTTTGGTGGGTAAGTTAATGAGGGGTTAGTTAGCTTTAGGGTGGTGTGGCTGGAGTAAGCATGGCTGAAAGATAGAGAAGGCAGTCAGCTCCAAAGTTGACCCTAAATTTAGCAGTAGTTGCCACCATGTAACTTCAGAGGAAGTGTCACACGGGAAGGACAGCTAGAATGTGATAGAGTGTGCTTAGCATGTGCAAGACTCTTGGGTTCTATCCTTAGCACTTAAATAAATACACCTTACAATTTGTCACCTTACATAATAGGCCCAGTTTACTTTATCTGGTGGAATACAAGCTTCTCGGGGGCTGGTGAGATGGCTCATCAAGTAAAGGTGTTTGTCACAAAGCAGGAGGACCTGAGTTTGATCCTCCTGAGTCCATATAGGGGATGGAGAGAAGCAACTTTTGTGAACTGTCCTCTGATCACCCCACATCCACCCTGATGTGCACTCACACAAATACATGAATAAATGCAATAATAACAATTCCCGAGGGGTCCTTTGGAAGGGTGGAAGACAATGAATATATGCAGAAGAATAGAAGCTTTGAAGACAGGATGAAAATCTTGGATTTACCACTGGTGGCTATGTGACATAAGCACATTAACCTCTTTCTGAAACTCTTTCTTTTTCTTTTCCTTTTTTTTTTTTGGGGAGGGGGACAGGGTTTCTCTGTGGGGCTTGGGAGGCTTTCCTGGAACTAGCTCTTGTAGATCAAGCTGGTCTCGAACTCACAGAGATCTGCCTGCCTCTGCCTCCCTCCTGAGTGCTGGGTCTAAAGGTATGTGCCACCACTGCCCGGCTTCTGAGCCTCTTTCTACAAGTCCACAAAACAGGTCAGGGTCAGTGAAGCTAGGCATGGTGTAGCACGTTTATAATCTCACACTCTGGAGGCAGAGGTGAGAGGACTTTAAGTTTAAGGACAGCTCTGGCTACAGGGTGTGCCTGTCTCAGATCCAGTCAATGAGAAGAAAATGCAGGGCCGGGTTGGGGTTGAGAGTAGAGTGCTTGTCTAGCATTCCCAGCACTGTAAAAACCAACCAAACAAAACCAACAAAGATTAGGTAAACAATTCTTGGCAAACAGGACTTGATAAAACACTCAAGAGATGAGGGTGGCTTTGACAGCTTTGAGTGTTTCTGAGGTGTAGAGGAGCCCATCTCAAGATCCTCCCAAAATGCCCACCTTTATAAAGACTTAGGCCCCCATGTCCCTTCTTAGTATTGTCCACATTTCTGTTAACTGCCTCTGAGGAAGCACCAACTTCAAGGTACACCTTGGACCCTGTGCAATGCATCATGCCACATAAAAGTAACTACTTCCCATCCTCTGTCCCCTATGGTCCTTCTAGCTGTCAGGTGGGTAAATGTTATTTTCCCCCAATTTTATAGAGGCAATTAAGGAGAAGGAGTGAGGCCAGATAGCCTAGGCAATGCTAGTATATGACTTCCTTGTATCCTCTGGATCTGGGGTTGTACTTTGGGGTTCAGATTTGCTGAGGGGAGCAGGGATAGACTCTCTGTGTATGACTGGAAAGCTCTCAGCACATCTTTAAGTCAATCTTCTGAACAAACAGATAGATGTCAGAAAATGCATGTGCTGGCAAGATGACTCTGTGGATCAAGGGCTTGCCCTGCAAGCCTGAAGGCCTGAATTTGGTCTCTGGACCCATGGTAGAAGGAAAATATTGGATTCTCCCAAGTTGTACTCTGACTTCCTTGAATACGTTGTGGTATGTACACATTGTGGTACATGCCCAAACTTAATATACATACATCACTTACACAATTGTTCTTTTTCTAAATACAACTTCTGGGAACCTTAAACCAACATCGAGTACTTAACATTTATGAGAACCAAGGCCAGATCGGTCAGGAAGGCTGGGGAGCAGAAGGGTTAGATCTTGGCCACAGGTCAGTCACAGACATAACGATATAACCTTGGACAAGGTTCTAAGGTCCCTGGATCCTCCTGTCTGCACATGGAGAAAAGATAGCTAGCTAGCTTGACAGGAGCCCAGTTTAAGCAAGACATCTGCAATCCTCATCATCATGACATTGACTTTGAAATTCACCGCCGAGAGACCCCACTGCCATCACGTCTTGAATTTCTAAAGAAGAAACAGTAATAGCTTACAGTTCTGCCAGCTCCTCAAAAAAAAAAAAAAATCAGAGAGCACAACATAGATTTTTTTTTTCTTTTTATAATTTTGGCAGAGGAAGATGCAGTTCCTGGAAATGCTTACAAAATGATTCCTGACACTAGGAGAGAGTTAAAAGAGGGGAAAAGGAAAAAGAAAACTTATCTACACACAGAAAGAAGGAAGGTGGAAAGAAACGGGATAAACAAAAGAACTAAAAGAGAAAGGGGGACTTTAAAGGGCCCCAATTCAAGGGACGTTATCAAGGTCTCAGAATCTGAGATTCACAAGCCGCTCGCCGGCTGGGGTGGTGCAGGCCCCGCCCCTATCTCGGGTGTCGGGCGTTCATTGGTGGGAGAGGCAGTCGCCGGCCGGTGACTGCCCGAGGAAAGGTTGCCTGGGACACGCATCCCTGTGTGAACGCATGACGTCCCACCCTGGCGCCAGGCTGTCTGGGGCTGAGTCTTAGATCAACACAGCTGTGGGACCCGGACCCACAGCTGGGCAAAGGAGCGGATTCCTCAACAAAAAATAGGATTGTGGGAAAAGTTCTGAAACAAAAACAGCGCAGACAAAAGCCTTAATGACATCCTTTCATAAAAATAAAAAATGCAAGAGGGGGGAAAAAGCTGGTAAAAGGAGCAGAACTGGGAACAGAAAGTTCAGAGGCGTTTGGAGTAAGAGGCTGAGGCCCCGCCACCGCTAAACAAGTTGCAGAAGGCCAGGGAGAGCCGGCCAGTCTGCTGTGCAGGGAGGAGAGGCGTCTTTGGGGTTTAAACTCTATTCAGTGTTCCCAATCCAACCGAAACCCACTCCTTTCAGATTTAGACTCTTAGGTTAGAAAAGATCCTTAAAGTTCAGTTACTTCACCCCTCTTTCTCTTCCCCTCCCCCAAAGGAAGGTTCAGGAAGGAAGGATTTGTGTCCAAAGGTAAGTTCTTGGCAAGGAAAGGACAGATCGTGGCTAGATAACCCCACAGCACCTTTCTGCCCTATCCCACACAGCCTATGGCCATTTCAGCCTAGAAGCATCAAGAGGAAATAATAAATGCTTTGAAAGTACTTTGCAAGCCGTAAACCCAGTAAACCCGCTATCCAAGCCTGAGGCAACAGAGGTAGTACTGGAGGACCCGAGAGGAGGGAGCAGACTCTGGGTGGGCTAAGCGCTAAGCACTTACCACACACCTGGCCCATGCTGAACTAATGCTGAAGGAGGGAGCATGCTGAGTGCTTCTCAGAGAAGAGGTGTTTAATATTCTTAGGTCTCACTCTTCAGTCCCTGGCTATCCTGAAATGCACTATATAGACCAGGCTGGCCTTGAATTCATAGAGATCTGTCTGCTTCTGCCTCCTGAGTGCTCAGATTAAAGGCCTTTATTTCTTCTTCTTTTTTAATAAATGAGGTCAGAGCTGGGTGTAGTGACACACCCCTTTAACCCCAGCACTAGTGAGGCAAAGGATCTCTGTGTTTGAGGCCAGCCTGATATACAGAGTGAGTTCCAGGACAGCTAGGGCTACACAGAGAAACCCTGTCTCAAAAAAAAAAAAAAAAAAAAGAAAAAGAAAAAAAAAGGAAAAATAAACAAATAAATACACAAACAAACAAATGAGCTCAGTTTCATTAGCTCCACTTAACAGGCAAGAACACTGAGGCTCAGAGAATAATTAGTTTCAAGTTCTCAGTTAGTGAAAGAAAACAAATGAAGATTTCAACATGGGTCTGCCAGGCACTGAAGGCCTTGATTTTTCCAGAAGCTCCTGGCTTGACTGTTTTGCACAAACATACAGAAGTCTTCATGACAGTCAAAGAAAGGGCCCTCTGTTAGTTACTCGGGAGTCCTCACAGCTAAGGAGATTTCCCTTCCCGTGACCAAATAACTGGCATTTAACTTCTTCAGCATATAGAGACTGACTTGTGTTTTTACAGGTTGGATTCCCTTTGCCTTAGACTGAAAGCGCTGTCCTTGAGAACTTTAATATTCCCAGGAGAAAACTTTCCGAGGCTTTTTCTGGGACACAGGGCCCTGTGGTGTGATGGAAAAGAACGAGACTGGCTTTACCTGTGATGAATACTGGACATGTTTTTTATGCCCCCTCCCAGCCCTTTGCTATCCCACATGCCCTGTCCAACTGTCACACAAGCGTAGAGTTCTTAAGTCAGAAAGTATTTAAAGAACCCCTTAGTGCCATCTCTCTCTCTCTCTCTCTCTCTCTCTCTCTCTCTCTCTCTCTTTCTTGCTCCTCTCAATAGGCAAAGTGAGGGTATCATCGATTACTTGTCGATGACCAATGGCTGGCAGAGCTGGCTGATTGAACCCAGGGCTCTGACTTCCTAGTGTCCTTCCCACTGTTAGAACTGTCCTAGCTCAGAGGTCCCATTGTCCTGTTGAGAAGTGCCACACACTACTAAACACTTAATTGTTTCCTGTGTTAATCTCATCCCCGGGCATTGTGAGATTCTTGAGAGCAGAAGCCTGTTTCATGTGAAGCCTATAAATATTCACTAGGCTGATGAAGAAAGCACTCATGGCTGGGAGAACCTCACCTGGGCTTCTCCAAGATGGGACTCAGAATCTCCGAACTACAGGGTCTTTAGAGTCTGGGAAGTGGAGAGGAGACCAGCAAAGACTATGGGAGTGCACTATCCTTTTGCAATATGGGGTAGCCTGCCTGCTGGCTCTTCCTGACGGTGATGGAGCCACTTCAGCAGGATGAGAGTAATGACGTCCAGGTGGCTACCCTTCCACAGCAGAAAGGGACAGACAACCGAGGGAGCGAGGCAGTTGCTATTGTTTTCTGCACAGAATGTGGAAAGTGTGGGGAGGGAGGGAGGCTGTGCAAAATGAGGAAGCAAGTTAGAAGAGATTTGCTGACCCATTGGCGCATGTATGTGTGTGTGGAGGGGACCTTCTAAAGGGCTTACGCAGAAATCATTCCTTCTAGTCTCCGTATCGGAAACCTCCAAACTTCTAATCAAATTCACTTCCAAAGCACAACTGGGCATGCATTTAGCCTTAAGGGGGTTCATGGGACAAAGGTTCATGCTTTTTCTTTCTCTATGGAAAAGGCTTGGATTTAGGCTGCTTTCTTCTCTCTCTCTCTCTCTCTCTCTCTCTCTCTCTCTCTCTCTCTTAACCCCCCTTCCCCTGTTGCTCAAATAAATAATGTTCTTTGCTCAAGCCTCCTTTCCCCTCCTCCTTCTGCAATCTCAGCGCCTAGCCCAAATCTGTTTTCTTCATTGTAACCTCAGCTTCACCGCAATTAATTTTTTTCCCCTCTGGTCACAAGATAATTCCCGACGCCAGTGAGTCTGGAGGTCAGACGAGCAGCAAATTGGGGAACAAGGCGGCACTAATTCCTTACAAGTTTCCCTTGAAAATTCGAGAGAGAGAGAGAGAGAGAGAGAGAGAGAGAGAGAGAGAGAGAGACCTTCAGGGATTTATGATCACGGAGCTGTGGGTTCGAACCAGTGTTGGGCAGAGGGCAAGGGAGCTCAAGGATCTTGGGCGCCGCCAGAAAAGGCAAATTCTTAAAGTTAATGGTTTTGGTTGATTTTTCAAATCTCTGCTGGCTCAAGAGCCCCGCCTCTCCTCAGTCTCAGCGCTTCCTCATTCTTCGCATCCGCGCCTCAGCGGTCCTCGGCGTCAGACCAGCCCAAGGAAGCCTGTTAGCAATTTAAGCCCACTGTGGACGCCCAGGGTCGGGGAGGCGGTGCCCAGGGAGCGGGGTGGAGCCTGGCGGGCTATTTTGAATAAGGGGGCGTGGTCTCGGGGCGACTCTTTAAGAGGCGGCTGCAGCAGGCGTGCGCCGACTGTTTGCTGCTCTAGCTGTCGCCTCCTCTCCTCCAGCTTCACTCACTCTTCAACATGAAGGCGCTGAGCCCGGTGCGCGGCTGCTACGAAGCGGTGTGCTGCCTCTCGGAACGCAGCCTGGCCATCGCGCGGGGCCGCGGCAAGAGCCCGGCGGCAGAGGAGCCGCTCAGCCTGCTGGACGACATGAACCACTGCTACTCGCGCCTGCGGGAACTGGTGCCGGGAGTCCCGCGAGGCACTCAGCTTAGCCAGGTGGAAATCCTGCAGCGTGTCATAGACTACATCCTCGACCTGCAGGTGGTCCTGGCAGAGCCGGCGCCTGGACCCCCGGACAGTCCACATCTCCCGATCCAGGTGCGCAGGGGCGGCAGGCGGGCCTGAGTTGAGCTGCTCGTGCGGGCTGGGATGCTGCGGGTCTCTCCCACCGACTCCCCGAATGCCTTGGCTAACTCGCCCCCTATCCTTTCACAGACAGCTGAGCTCACTCCGGAACTTGTGATCTCCAACGACAAGAGGAGCTTTTGCCACTGACCCGGCGGTCCTGGCACCTCCCGGTAAGTTTGCTTCTGGCATGGGCAAGGAGGCTTGCTTGGGAAATCCTGTGGTTGACAGGACTTTGCAAGGCTTAGGGTTTCCTTGGTTTAGGGAAACCCAAGCGAGGAAAGAGGCAAGAGGCTTGTCGGTGGTCACTTAAGAGTAAACGACAGTATCAGTGTCAATATCACGTGCATGTTAAAGCGTGCTGCCTCTGCTCACCCGGGGTCCTGGGCAAGCGGGCGTGCGGATCGCACCAAATACTCTTAGTAAAGGGAGCCCCCTTTCCACTAGTGTCGTTTCCAAGCGGGAGGGGGAGTGGTGGCTCCGCCTGTGGTCCTTTGGCGCCAACTGGGTGGAGGCTTGTGTGGGGCGCGGAGTTATCAGCTGGAGGTAGAGACCAAGTTTCCTCCCTGGCGCCGGCCAGTCTGCGGCGGCCTCCGCCTGGGCGCGCTCGGCGGAAACTGGCGGCTCCTTCACTCTTCTCTTCTCCCCCGCCCAGAACGCAGGTGCTGGCGCCCGTTCCGCTTGGGACCCTGGGACTCTGGGACCCTCTCTCCGGCCGGAAGCCCGAGGGCATGGATGAGCCTCGATCTCGCCCGGCCCTCTTCACTTCCCCTAAACCCCTGCCTCGAGGCTGGACTGGGAGCCCGAGAGCGAAGGACTGAACTTGGGTGGCCTGAAGAGCTAGCGCTGGTCAGCAGCTGGGCAACGTCACCCGGTCCCCACCCTGACTCCCAAGTCTTAAAAGACTGGCTTTTCCGAGAATGGGGGTGTCGAGAATGGGGGCGAGTGTGGCTGCCCTGCACACTGCCAAGGCAGCGTAAGAGCTGGTTTTCTGATCTCCTTGGAGAACGGCTCTGCTGCCCTGATTATGAACTCTATAATAGAGTATATAGCTTTTGTACCTTTTTACAGGAAGGTGACTTTCTGTAATCATGTGATGTATATTAAACTTTTTATAAAAGTTAACATTTTGCATAATAAACATTTTTGAACACTTTGTGTATTATATGCGGCGTCTCCCCATTTCTTATGTGGCTGTCTTTAGGAAATATCCTGGGATCTTGGGAGGAACAAATTTGGGTACCCTCTTAGGGTTAAGTTCCCAGCTGAAGCTGAGGGATAGGGTGGATATTTGAAAGGGCTAAGAATGGGAATCCCCAAATCCATTGGGGGTTGACAGCAAGTATCTGCAATCCTACCCTGTCAATTACAGAAACCCGATGCAAACTACCCAGCAGTTTAAGACTGAATTTTTCTTTCAGTCCCTTGAAACAATTACCTTCCTGGCTCTTTGCAGGGGATGTGGTAAGAGTGGCCCCATTTCAGAGATGAATAAACTGACTGCCAGGCCTGGTCTCAGTTCCCTCATGCTTTCTGGTCTAGCTTCCTTCTAGACTTCCAAAACCAAAAAACCCTCAATTGCTGCGCATAGCGATAACACACCTTTAATTCCAGCACTTGGGAGGCAGAGATAGGCATTTCTCTGAATTTGAGGCAAGCCTACGTAGGTAGTGAGTTCCAGGACAACCAGAGCTACATAGTAAGAGCCTGTATTGGAAAAACCAAACCAAAACCAGGGTCTCTCAAATCTTCAGCCTCTGTCGGAGATGCAGGCTAGCTGGGAAGCAATGCTGCACGTTCCCTTCGAGCTCTAAACTTTTAACTTTGACCTGTGAGTTTGAGAAAACTGACTAGGATTTTGTTGGGCATGACTAGGATCTTACTGGCCAGCAAAGAAAAAGACATCAGCCCATGTCCCATCTATTCACCCCCAACACGGTGCCTCCCCAGGTGGGATGCACCAGGCTCCTGGCCTCACTGAATTCCTGTTTATATGATCTCTGTGTGTTGGGTCTTGGCATAGTTACTAATATTTCATAACAAAAGGGTCATGTCATTACCCTTTGTGCATTAACCCTAGTAAGCCTTTTGGGGTGAACCAGGGTCAAAGGGGGGGGGTGCAACCTCTGTCTTTGCCAATCATCCTACAGTCTGATGAATAGTTTTTAATCCTGATCTGGGTCCTGATTTCCTCTGATGAGTTGAAGGACGATATGAGCATCCTTCCGAAGGCACACATGAATTTTTTAAGAGTAATAGCAGACCTCCAACCTTCTGGAGGTCGGGAGTTCCCATGTGAGAAACCCTTGCCCCAAATAACCTTAAGACTGGTTATCTCCACCTTGGATGGTGTGTTAGGCTGTGCTGTGTTCTCTGGATACAGCCCATCGAGGGTGAAAATCCCGGACTTGCTGAGTACTGCAGGCTACAGACTGTGCCTCCAGTGAGCCTCAGTTCTGAGGGACCTTTTTTACTCTACCACAGTAGTCTGCCTTCTGTTCACTTAGAAGTTAACACCAGGGAAAGCTGCAGGCTCATGTGCCATGTGACCTGGAGCAAGCCACTTCTCTCTGAGCCCAGCTGCCGGCTAGGACCCAAGATAATGATGGGAAAGTTCTTTGAAATGCATCACACACCTACGAGGCATTATTAAGCTAATTCCAAGGAAATTGCTTGTCAAGACTCCCAGGGCTGAGCAGTTCAGGTGGCCAGGACAAAAGCTTAGACCATCCCGCCAATCCATTAGTCATTAGAGAGTGAAAGCAATTTAGCCCTAGGTCAGAAACCTCTGAGATAGTTCTTCAGTTGTAATCATTAAGGGGAGTGCCTACCAGGTGCGCCGAGTCCATTTCATCTTAATCTTTTTTCTAATCAGCAAGGTGGGTATCTTGAATAGGTTTATCAAGGTCACAGCATGGAAGTGGGAGACGGTATTTAAGAAGGCCAGCTTCCTCTAGCTCCGAAGCCCGTGTTTTCATGTACTTCAGACTTCTCTTTCCCCTGCCACTCTGTGAGTGGGACGCAAATTAGGAACCCAGTAAGAGCTTGTTGGAAAAACAACAAACAAACGTGAAGGTTACCTTATTTCTGTATGAGATGGGATGATAGTATCTCCCTTGGAATCCTATAGTTCGGATAAAAGACCACACATACAGCATCTCCCTGGCTCCTTGGGCAATACAATTGGGGGTCTTGAGTTGATCTCGAATCTCTCAGCTCTGAATCACAAACATTTGGGATATATATATATATATATATATATCTGTATATAATATATATATATCTGTATATAATATATATATATCGAATATA